CCTTATGGTAACTTCCATCTGTCAGTCTCTAATGATAACTTCCATCTGCCAGTCTGTAATGATAATTTCCATCTCTCAGTCTCTGATGGTAACTTTCCTCTGTCAGTCTCCAATGTTAACTTCTATATGTCAGTCTTTAATCACATCTACCGGTATTTAATAATAACTTCCATCTGCCAATCTCTAATGTAGCTACCATGGTTTTCATTGTGGGACCGCTGTGTTGTAACAAAACGGTTTCCCTCGTGTGCTTACAGTGAACGCTCATGCTCTTAAATTATTCAGAATGACTTAACTTTTCGTGTAAACGACAACACCAATCTGCTATATGATAATAATGATGATTTTATCAGCGTCTACTTAGAAAGACATTTTCTATTCTTATTATGTCAACGTGCTTCACAGTTCATTTTGTGTCCCGACTGAATCATTGATCTCGGGGCATCATATGTTATGCTCTAGTTTTATCACTGAATACTCAATATTTTGTCCTATGCAAAGAGAGATCCCCCTTTAGCGTCTCTTGCTACTGACTTTAAGTCTTATATCTATTTAAGTTTAACCGACTGTAGATTACTGATTGTGATCCCCATGGTTACTTTATTTATTTTGCGTATCTTTATCTTTAAACGCCCTTCTCTAATGGCTTTCGTTAAAAGCTTATATTACATTTGTAGCTGAAGCAAATCTCCCATAGCACATGACCGTTGCCCCTATCAGGATAACGTGTGGGATCTGCTTGCAGCTGAGTGGTCTCAGCCATAACACTATCGATCCTTCTGTTCTATACTATAATCCACACACCCATCAAATTGTTACTTTTATTGTCACTTGAGAACATAAAGGCAGAAGGTGCAGAGAGAGAGAGAGAGAGAGAGAGAGAGAGAGAGAAAGAGAGAGAGAGAGCTAGTGGGAGGATGAGAGGCAGAGAGCAAAAGAGAGACAGGTAGAGAAAGTAACAAATGATAGGTAAAGGTGTGTAATCGAGCATATCTATATATGTGTGGATGTGTGTTTATTTATTTGTGTGTGAGTGCGCGTGTGAGCAATGTGTGGTCTGTGTGTATGTGCTTGTGTGTGTGAGTGCGCGTGTGAACAATGTGTGGTGTGTGTGTGTATGTGTGTATGTGTGTTTGAGTGCGCGAGTGAGCAATGTGTGGTGTGTGTATGTGTGTTATGTGTGTGTATGTGTAAAACTGTACCACACAAATATTAATAAAATTAAGACTCAACGATAGAGAAACTCTAGCACACACACAGATGTAGCCAATCCTGTGCAGACCTGGTGCACACAATACTCCAGTAACACCAGACATCTACAACAGTTCACTACCTGCATTGACAACAGGCAGTGTTGCCACTTTTCTTTGACAAAAAATATCCAAAATGGTGTCAACAAATATGTAAAAAGATCTAAATCTGCATGGAAAAGATCTAGAAAAAACATCCAAATTGAAAAAGTCAAAAATTACATAGCTTTTGTTATGACTTACCCTACATAATCATGTCCTCACCTTCACTGATGTCTGCCTCACGAGATCCACAGGATAAACTTAGCTTGGATAATGAAGCTGAAGCTTCAGATCCAAAATGACCCTGGTATGCTTTAGCTGTTCAAATTTCTTTTTAAGTGGAACAGTAGGCTTATTTCTCTAGTCCCATCAGGCCGAATTTTAATGGCACGATAGCATTTAGGAGGTCAAATTGCATCCTGTTTTTTAGGTTAGATTTGATATAATTCCTAGCACTGAAAACTCTTTTTGCGTCACCATTTGAGTGGGGTAGTATCATGGCAGACATAGCACTTTAAAGAGCTTACAGAATGGACTGTTTGATGAAAAATCTTTAAATTGTCTCACTTCACTCCAAAACGCTTTAATTTCTGTTTTGTTTGTCTATTCAGCTAACTTTATTTTGGTTAACTGATATTCTGCTTCTGCGACACTGTTATCAGTAGCCCCTAAAAATTTCATAACTTGCAATATTTAGGTATGTCCTTTATTGGCTGAAGTATGTTGCTCACAGAAAAAAGTGAAATATTTTTCAAAACATCTAGATTTTCAGGAAGTCCCTGCTTCAATTGCTTCAATAGTGAGATAAGGAAATCTTGACAGCGTTTTCTTAAGTTGTTCTCTTCATTCTCTGTCAACTGTCCTTTTGTTTTTAAATTATCAATTTTTGATTCGATTTAATATCCAAGGTGTGGCTTAGGAGCCAAATTGCTCTCTATAGTGCAAGTGAGCAAATCAGCTTTAGAAGTTGGCAACACCAGTCTTTTACCTAGTGAAATAGCAAGGTGAGATCATCAAGTAATTTCACTTTATCAACTAGTTTAGATTCGAACTGTTTATTAACTTTTTGCACTTCCATTAGAATAGGTTATAAAAAGAGAATGAATGACACATTTTTTTCATCACTGTACATTCCATATAGTATTTCAGCTGTGTAGCACTTTTCACCTTGTCTTGTTATTTCAAAGTGTGTTTTGAACTTCAGCCATTGCTTCATAATTCTTTCAACAGCTGGTTAAATTGATAACCATCTAGTTTTGCAATCTAACAGAATTTTCGGTGGTGTGGAACCATCAATCAAGGCTGTATATAATGTATTGTATTGCTGTTGTCTGACAAATGATTTGGAAAAGCAGTAAAGTGTTTCAGCAATAAGGTATTCCAAATTCCTTGGTAAATATTTAGATGAAGCATGTGATAATGCTAGATACAATGAATGACGCATACATTTTATAAGTATTAACGACGGGTTAGCTTCCTTCAACTTGGCATAAACGCCATTGTTTATACCAACCATCACTGAGGCATTATCAGTACCAATTACAGCCAAATTCCTCAAGCCTAACTGTTTGCTGATTGAAAGGTCCTTCAGTTCCTAAACTATACTTTCTACATCACACTTTTCAAATTGAACTAGTTAAGGATTTTTTACAAATCGATCAAATGGTCACAGTTTTAAATTGCGCAGTGACAAATTAAAAACATTGCGACTGATACTTCAACTTTTGATGATTCATTTATCAGTATAGTTCTGAAAACAGATGTCAGCGGTGTAATATCTTTAAATGAAACTGCAGTTTTATGCTTTTTAGTCTCTGCATGACTCTTTGAGTTTTGTATTTTCGCTTTAATTTCACACTTGCAGTACTTACAACAAGCTTTGGTCATATCCCCAGTTTTTAATTTTGTCATCATGCAACCGGTTGAAACAAAGTTAGTATGATTTACGCGCGTTTTTATTAATCAGTACTGGGGCTGCCAGATATTTGTGCGTTGACCCCAGTGAGAGTTCAAAGTTCAAGTAATGGCAGTTGTCACAATGTACGTGCCAGACCAAAACAAAAATATTGTAGTAAATATTTAACACTGTAATTATTTAATTGACAATGAAAGAAAAAAAATATATAAAATATCTAACTCCATATGAAAAGAATCTAGAAAAATATTTACGATCTAAACGTCAAAAACAGTATCTAAATGCAACGAAAAAGATCTAAATTTGGATATAAAAGATCTAAAGTGGCAACACTGACAACAGGCTGTCTGGATTACGCCGGTTGCTAATCCAAAACAACTGCTTGAGAAGTGCGGTCATCAGACGCTATCTGCTGCATTAGCAGCAGGAGCTACACATCTGTCAGGCTGATTTGTTTCTGGACAATGCCTAGCATCAACTATTTTTGTTAAGTGACAGATATCATCATCAGCATCATCAGGTGCTTTGCCGACTGGCGTGGGCGATTATGCCTTTTCATAATCTAAGATCTCCTGCAGCATGTATCAGTTCGTGTGCCGAACACTTCCATGCCATGCAACAAGACTGTCAAGCATCTTCTCTCGTTGTCTTCCTCTGTCCCTCCTTCCACAGATCTTTCCAGTGGTCACAACATGTTCTATTTTCCCTCTTCTCATAACATGACCGAAAAATGATAACTGTCTCCTTCTGATGTCTGTGATAAGTTGTCTTCGGTCTCTCGCCTCTTTCAAAACCTCTTGGTTGCTCTTTTTGACAGTCCAAGGTATTCTAAGCATTCTTCTGTAAAACCTCATCTCTGAGGCCTCTAGAAATTGTTTGGCCTGCCTACCGATTTTCCAGGATTCACAGCCATATGTTAAAACTGGATGTATGTAGCAAGCAAGAATTCTTTTTCTAACTCTCAATGACAAGGGTATATTGCACTAGATGTTTTTCATTTTATAAAATGCAGTTTTTGCCTGTCCTATTCTGTTTCTTATCTCAGTTATGCATCTTCTATCTGATGTTATCCATGTGCCCAGATACTTAAATTTCTGTACTTTTCCTAAAATAACACCATCAACTTTATTACACACTTAGGAATAATTCGTTTCTTTGATACCACCATTACTTCTGTCTTCCCATTATTCAAACTGAGGCCCATTCTTCCACTTTCTAACACCACAATGTCTCTCATTTTCTGTAGTTCTTTCTGACTTGTTGCTATTAAGACTGTGTCATCAGCATAACGTAAATTGTTTATATTGTGCAAACTAACCACAATTAAAGATCTCATTATATATTCACTGTATTTTGAAAACAAATCAGGTGACAGTAAACATCCTTGTCGTACGCCCCTCTTTATGCTTTGAAATGTACCTAAACAGTTGTTAGTTCTTATAGCTGCTGTTTGCTGCCAGTACATATTCTTTATTATTCGTAGATCTTTCCAATCAATGTTTAATTTTTCTAACAGTTTGATTACTTCTTCATGCTTCACACTACCGCTGTACTATCCCAAGGAAATCATGTCTCAAAATAATAGGACAGAATAATACGTTTACTTTTAACACCGTTGAGCATAATTATGTCACCATTTGGGCTATTGTGTAGCGCAATTATTCTCACCTGTGTGCTAGTTTACTTTTTCTCTGATCTCTATCCCCCAATAGTTGAAGCCCTCAAGAAATTCAAATCCTCTCATTGGGTATGTTGCAACTGCATGCAACTCACCGCATACCCTCTCCCTCAAGCAACTCACCGCATACCCTCTCCCTGCATGCAACTAACCGCATACCCTCTCCCTGCATGCAACTCATCGCATGTCCTCTCCCTCCATGCAACTCACCGCATACCCTCTCCCTGCATGCAACTCACCGCATGTCCTCTCCCTGCATGCAACTCACTGCATACCCTCTCCCTGCATGCAACTCATCGCATGTCCTCTCCCTCCATGCAACTCACCGCATACCCTCTCCCTGCATGCAACTCACCGCATACCCTCTCCCTGCATGCAACTCACCGCATATCCTCTCCCTCCATGCAACTCACCGCATATCCTCTCCCTCCATGCAACTCACCGCATATCCTCTCCCTGCATGCAACTAACCGCATACCCTCTCCCTGCATGCAACTCACCGCATATCCTCTCCCTGCATGCAACTCACCGCATATCCTCTCCCTGCATGCAACTCACCGCATACCCTCTCCCTGCATGCAACTCACCGCATATCCTCTCCCTCCATGCAACTCACCGCATACCCTCTCCCTGCATGCAACTCATCGCATGTCCTCTCCCTGCATGCAACTCACCGCATACCCTCTCCCTGCATGCAACTCACCGCATACCCTCTCCCTGCATGCAACTCATCGCGTGTCCTCTCCCTGCATGCAACTCACCGCATACCCTCTCCCTGCATGCAACTCACCGCATATCCTCTCCCTCCATGCACCTCACCGCATATCCTCTCCCTTCATAAAACTCACCGCATATCCTCTCCCTTCATAAAACTCACCGCATATCCTCTCCCTTCATAAAACTCACCGCATATCCTCTCCCTTCATAAAACTCACCGCATATCCTCTCCATCTTTTCAACTTCATATCTATTTTCCTTCTTTATGTGTTTTTGCTCTGCCTTTTGTTCTTTGACCCTGTTGGTTTCCAATGAGAAGACATTCTGCACAAAACGTTCTTAGGTTTTCCCTACGCGTGTCTAATCCAATGCCAGCCTCTTTTTCTCTTCTCTTCATTCACTGTAAATTGTTCATTTCTCTCTCAAAGCTCAACTTAATTATTATATCCTACCATTTAATTCCTTCTATTCGTTTTTCTAAATCGTATTCTCTCCCTCCTCCTTCGTTTTATTATGTATTTATCTCGTAAATGGCAAAAGTTTTCAATTACCCCATGCTAGGTAGAAATAATGTCAAACATTAGCATATTCAAAGATCAAAACTTCAAGGAAAATTGGCTCGTAAACACCATTTTATCGTGTAAACTGTCTCGCAGTTTGAACATATCTAAGGTTATCGATCAGGGATTGGAAAGAAGAGTAGCGGAGACGTTGTACCGGACAAGAGCCGACCAGAACGAAGATGTGCACCGGATCTGAAACTGCAAAGGCAGATGCAAAGAAAAGATCGGCCTATGACAGTGGGAACAATTTATAGAGACGATGGTGTGCGTGTGACAACAGACAAGGAGAAAGGGGAGGCTTTTCTATAGGTTTATAGCTCAGACAGATCATAATGATATAGACATCAGGGATGCAGTTAGAAAGGAGTTAGCTGGCACCTTAAAAAATACGCACTATGAAGACATAATACGAGTAGAAGATATCAAACAAATTTTGAAAAAGGTAAAGGACACTGCACCAGGGCCTGATGGGGTCAGGTATGGTCACGTGAAGGTTTTGAGCGATGTGGACCTGGCGGTGATGGCTGACTGTTTTAACCAGAGCATTAAGACAGCAAAAGTACCGCAGGACTGGGTGCACTGCTTTCTAATCCCACTAACAAAAGGATCATTCAAAGCTCAGTGGCTTTAGAATCATCACCTTACAAAACTTATTTGGGAAAGTCTTGGAGAAGATAGTTGCTGTAAAGCTGCAAGAATTTTTGGAAAGGGGGAAGCTTCTCCCAATAGGTCTGGGAAGCTACAGGCCAGGAAAGGACACATGGGCAAATGCGGCCACGTTTGCTTTTGACGTCTATGAAGGGTTCCAGAACAGACAGGAAACTATGGCGGTAGGACTGGATCTCGAGGATGCTTATAACAGTGTAAGATACGACATCTTGATGACTGCACTGAAGGAGAAGGAGGTCAGTCCATGGATGGTGAATTGGGTTGCAGCTGTTCTGTATTCACATCTGGTTGTTCTTCGACTGGGCTCATGGACCTCAGAACCATACATTTTGGTCCTAGGACTGCCACAGGGATCCGCCATCTTGCCAGTGCTCTTTAACGTGTATACGAGCAAGATTGCAAGCCTAGAAGCACCAGGAGTTGGAAGGATATTAACTTTTGCAGATGATATACTTGCATATAGGCAGGGGGAAGATAGGGAACAAACAGCCTGAGAGCTACAAGTGACAGTAGACAAAGTGACTGAGTGGTGTACAGAAATGAGGGCTGTCGTCCACCCGGAAAAGGGGTCGGTTTTGTGGTGTTCTCTGGACAACAGGATCGTTAAAGCTAATGTCCCAAGTCTCACGATAGATGGTAGAAACATCAACAGAGAGAGCAAACTGAAGTGTCTTTAAATTACATTTGACAGGAGCCTGTCCTTTAAGGACCATGTGGTGAATGTTGTGACAAGATGCCAAAAAGGAGTTGCTGCACTTAAGACTATAGCTGCAACTGACATAGAGCATAGAATGCTTTTCACACTATATCAGCACCTGATATTGTCAGTGGTTGATTATGGCCTGGGAATGCTTATGGTCTCAAAGAGCCAGATGGACAAACTAGAGCGCATACAGAACGCAGCAATGCGGGTCATTCTGGATTGCACCAGAGACACCCCAGTGGTGTGTATGCGATACATCCTTGGTTTGCCGACTGTTGCAGGTAGGCACAAGGTGCTTTAGGCGAAGTCATATCTCAGGGTAGCTGCAGACACAGACCACCATTTGCACAAAGCTCTGGGTGCAGTTAAGGGTCATCGGCTGATAAGAGGGAAGTCATGGATGGCTCAGGCAGAAGACACAATCAGACAGGTTTGAATCCTTGAGAACATTAGGCGAGGAGAGGAGTGGGTCAAAGAGTCACCTGAACAGACTTGTGTAGGGTCATAATCACACGGAGCCGGGAATGCAGAGACTGACCAGCAGGTGCCACAGAGGTGGAAATTCAGCAATTAATTCAAGATAATGCTCGCTCAGAAGATTTGATCATTTACACAGACGGTTCAGTGTCAAGAGGCAAAAGAAGTGCTTGGGATTTCTTAGCACAAGTTAATGGTCGACATTTGGTGCAGGAGAGCCTAGCATATGATACCACAACATCCAGCTTAAGAATGGAGGTGGAGGCGGTCACTGCGGCTTTACGTTGGCTAGAGAACACGACACACACACACACACACACACACACACATTGTGATTGTAACTGACTCAGAAAGCATGCTGAGGAAGATCATGACAGGCATGCTTCGTGCAGAGTGGCTTGCGGAAGTCACGGGTGAGGAGTATTGTCTGGCTGGCTCTGCACAGCTTGGTGGAATACTGATGCATGATAAGGCAGACGTGGTTAGTGCCTTGCGGGAGAGCTTGTACAGTTCGAAGGAGCATATTGATCACCACAGTGTGGTGAGATTGATGCAGTTGGGGGTGACGAGAGGTTCTGGCAGATGCTCGAGGCTCAGAGGAAAGGCAAGACGGACGTTTAATAAAAATGCTACTGGCACCTTTAGTATCGGAACTCTTTGCTGGCTGCTGAAGATGGGGACGGGGCGCTATTGGGAATGCCCCGAGTGATGTGATGTCGGTTCTTGAATCAAATCAAATCAAAATCTGAAAGACAGCGCAGACTGTAAAGGAGCTGCTATATGATGATGATGATGATGATGAACTCCTGCCGTCGGCATATCCTTTCCGTCTTTAGCAGCTTCTTACACGCCACTATATCATGTTTTTTTCTTATTCCCATGTTTTTTCGAACCAGAGAGCAATATGATGCCCTAAATATCGGTGGTCATGAAATACCAGAGATCCGATATGCCGATGAGACAGTATTGCTATCCACAATACAGACTGGTACAGAAAACCTAATAAACTCAACCCCAACAAATAATACAAATCACAGCTTATATCTTAACATAACAAAACAAAGATAATGTACACAGATACAACCTCTACGGAGAAAGAAATATATGTTAATGAGGAAAGACTGGAGGTTGTTGCAAATTTTGAAAATTTGGGTGACACAATGAAAGAAATTCACCGACGATTTTTAATTGCTCTTCAAACACTAAAACAACTGAATAAATTATGAAGTAGAAATGACAGAATTACAAAACTAGATTTCTAAGAGCGTGCATCTTTCCCATTGCAATATACGCCTGTGAGACATGGACACTTACTAAACAAGCTGAACAGCGCATATATACGTTTCAATAGAAATCTTATAGGTGGGTTCTAAGAGTATCATGAGCAAAGAAAACAACAAATGCATCTATACTTTAAAAACTAAATATTAAAGAAGGTTGGCTATTAAAGACGATATAACACAGAAAATTGAAATATTTTGGTAATTTGAAACTTCACGAAAGTTTAGAGAGAGCAATAATGGAAGGGTGTATGCCTGGGAAGAGAGGAAGAGGAAGGCCAAAGAGAAGATGGTTGCAGGATGTGGTGGAGGATCTCCAAATTGGTGCATCGGACGCTGGACATCTTTCTTGTGGTCGAGAAGTTTTCCGGTAGGTTGTTATGAGCACAAGGTTCTGCAAAGGACATGCTACTGACTGACCGAAATGTTTACGTCTCCTCCAATTTCTTCTGCTACTGTAGGCGCCAAAGGACTGACTCTCTAGTAAAACTATTACCAACTTATTAACACATCTCCCACAGCAACAGTAAGATTCGCTGAAAGAAAATGTTCCCATTGTCTGTCCTATTTAGCACTGCGTCTTTTCCTCATCTCTTGATTCATTGGCATTTTTTAAAAGTTTTCAAATGAACCACCTGTAGGTGATTACCACTTTGGTTGGTATATTCTGCGCAGGCATCATTTAATGAATATTGTGTCTGCTGACTGTTTTTGTCGTTCTCAATATAGTTCATAAGACAATTAATCAATGTTTCATTGATTTACTTTAATAAAGGCTAAGAAACAAAAGGAACTCATTCTAGGACAATGCCGACAAAGAATTAACAAGCATACACTGAAATGGGAAATGGGTTACGAACGAACGAACGAACTTTATTTTCATAGGGTTACAAATTGGGCACGCAGGCCGTCTGACATTCGGCCCTTTTGAGCACTCATCTTTCAGAGCAACAATGCCTGTTATCAATAATGCGTGTTATGTTTATAATTTAAAAAATATATATATATACATTATAGAATACACACATCATGTATACACACTCAAACACATACACATACACATACTCTTACATTCTCATATGTACACATACACAATTATTTACAGACATACGTAATACATACATACACGCACCTACATACACACACACAGCTCTTGGACTTAACACCATATGTGATAGGCAGATATGTAAGGCCAATACAGATTTGCGAAGAGAACCAGCTTATTATTTGTAATACTTTCTTTCAACATCTACCTAGGAAACTGTATACGTGGAAAAGTAATGGAGATAGAGGTAGAAACCAAATTGATTTTATTATGGCTAGAAAGAGATTTTAAAAAAATCAGTGTTATGAATTCCAAATCATATCCTGGCGCCAAAATAAACTTGGAGCACAACGCCTTTGTTACAGAAATGCACATACAACTTAAAAATTATAGTCAAAAGGCATCAAGGAAATCTC